GTGCCTCCACTCCTCGATGGCCAACTTGACTGCCAACAACTCCCGGTCGCCAACATCATAATTCTTTTCTGCAGGGGACAAGGACTTAGAAAAAAAAAGCACAAGGGTGGACTTTATCATCGGTGGAACATTGACTGAGAATAGCCCCAACACCGGTATTAGAAGCATCAACTTCTACAATGAACTGCTGCTCAGGGTCAGGAAATTGGAGGATAAGAGCTGAGGTGAAAAGAGTTTTCAGATTGGTGAAAGCTGACTCAGCTGATTGACTCCAAACAAACTTGGTTTTTACAGAGGTTAAAGCATTGAGAGGTGATGCAATGGAGCTGAAGTTTTTAATAAACCTCCTGTAAAAATTAGCAAAGCCTAGAAATCTTTGCAACTGTTTTCTGGATTGTGGTTTAGGCCATTCTTTGACAGCAACAATCTTGGAGGGATCCATAGAAATTTGACCAGGTGCTATTTGAAATCCTAAGAAGGTGGTAGATGATGTGTGAAACTCACATTTTTCTGCTTTAACAAATAATTGGTTTTGCAGGAGACGAAGGAGGATGGCTCGAACATGTTTCTCATGTGATTCAAGGTCCTGGGAAAAAAATCAGGATATCATCCAGATACACAAAAGCATTGACATTAATGTAGTCTCTTAATACATCATTGACCAGAGTTTGAAAAACAGCCGGAGCATTGGTGAGACCAAAGGGCATGACCAAGTATTCATAGTGACCAGTAGGTGTGTTAAATGCTGTTTTCCATTCATCCCCCTCTGATTCGAACAAGGTGGTAAGCATTTCTAAGGTCTAATTTGGTGAAGATCTTAGCATTTTGAATTTGATCAAAGGCTGAATTCATGAGAGGTAGCGGGTATTTATTCTTAATAGTTATATTGTTCAAACCACGGTAATCAATGCATGGCCTCAAAGATCCATCTTTCTTACCCACGAAGAAGAAACCTGCTCCTGCTGGTGATGATGAGGGTCGAATGATCCCAGACTTAAGTGATTCATTGATATAGTCCTGCATTGCTTGGTTTTCTGGCTGAGATAATGAAAACAAACGTCCCCTAGGAGGCATTAAACCAGGGGTCAAATCAATGGCACAGTCATAAGGTCTGTGAGGAGGTAAAGATGTGGCCTTAATTTTGCTAAAGACTTCACTGAGATCATGATAAACTGAGGGAACATTGGTTAAATCAGGACAATAATCACTTTTCTTTATTTGTTTGTCAGGGCTCACTGCACACAAGAGACAGTTGGAAGAACATCTTTCTGACCAACCCAAGACAACTTTCTTCTCCCAGTCAATGTGGGGATTATGTTTCTCTAGCCATGTGGCTCCTAAAACAATGGGTAACTGGGGTGAATGTATGACAAGAAATTGGACTGTTTCATGATGGTTACCTCCAATTACCATTTTAACTGGAACAGTTTCAGAACTGGTGCTGTTGAGATGATGACCGTCCAGGGCAAGGACTTGGTATTCCTCTTGGATGGGATGATCTGTATTCCCAGGGTGAGGGCAAAATCATGATCAATAAATTCTGAATCAGCTCCTGAATCTACAAATGCTTTAACAGGCAGCATCTTACKCTTCACAGATAATTCGGCAGGTAGTTGGAGCAGTGAGTGACTAATCGATGCGGGGCTTAAGACATGGCTCTTAATTTTAGGAAATTTGTTACTCTTCTTAGGACATGAAACAATGTGGCCTGACTCACCACAATAAAAACATAAACCATTCTTCTGTCTGCGCAGTTTCTCCTCCTCAGACAGTTTAGATCTGCCGATATGCATTGGCTCCTCACTTCTTGTAGTAGGGACTGGAGAGCAAGATAATCCACTGGACCGAAGGGGAGCTGGGGGCTTGAAAAAAGTTGATTCATTAAAAGTTCTGGAATTACCTCTTTTAGCTCGTCTTCGCTCATGCAACCTCAGATCGATCCGTGTGGCAATATCTTCTAATTCTCTCAGGGACTGTGGAGGATCTCGTGTTGCCAGCTCGTCTTTTATTTCATCGCTTAAGGCTTGAAGAAATACATCTTGAAGAGCTTCCTCATTCCATCTGCTATCAACAGCTAGAGTGTGGAAATCAATTAT